TGGTTAATGGTGGTTAGGCAACAGCCCTGTATTCGTTGTGTACACATAACACATGAGGTGCAATGAGCCGGGGCTGGGCGGGGCAGCAGGGGGCGGGGCATGTTCGGTTCGCCATGAGAGTATCGCGATACGTATCGTGGGTGGTGTATCGCGGTTTTTCGGTTCGGTTCAAATATCGTTACACCCCTATTAGAGAGTAAATAATGACAGAATTTTTATTTTTGGGTGAACTATCTCTTTAAGGACAAGAGGCAGCTTGTTTACTAACTGGCTACTGTCGCTTTAAGAGCTGCACGCGACGCGTCTAATATACACGCATTTGACAAGCCGATTTTCTCTCCTTTTTTTTCTGTTTGCTTTCACTTTAGACATAACCAACTTTGTTTATGTAAACCTTGTGTGTATTTGACAATATTAGCGCAATAAGACTCAAAAGATAACTTATAACGTAGTCCAGTAAACAGACGCTGTTAGACAGGCTTTTAGTGCCCGTGTGCTTCGGGTGTATGTGCTCAGAAAGCATACGTCAGAACAGCGCATCAGCAGTGAATTACATGTTTAACCAGCAAGGCTTTAAAGCACATGCAAATAATGAACTTCTGTGAACTGCAGTGTCCCGTTCCTCTGCGTTAACATTTGTTGTATGTTGAGACGGAGCTCGACGCCAGAACTGCAACTGATAAAATGCACGATACTACGATATTTCTTCAAAAGCAGATCGTGGAGACATTTTAATCGTCCACGATCAAAAACCGTGATATCGCACACCCCTAGGTGTTGCCCATAATGGGTGCCAGCCTGGCTAACATCCTCCTCTCCCCCACCTCCTCTATGGTGTCCAGAGGGCAAACCAGAACAGAGCTAGCCTTCATCACTAGTTTGTTGAGTCTTTTCCTATCCCTTTCTGTGCTCCCAGCTCCCCAGCAGGCCACTGCATAAAAGATTGCAGACGCCACCACAGAGTCATAAAAAGTTTTTAACAGAGACCTGCACACTCCGAAGGAACTCAGCCTCCTCAGCAAATGGAGACGGCTTTGGCCCTTTTTGTACAGGACGTCTGTGTTTGTGGACCAGTCAAGTTTCTTGTTAAGGTGAACACCCAGGTATTTGTAAGTCTCCACCCTCTCAATGTCGACACCCTGGATGTTCACCGGTGTAGTACCCGGCCGCCTCCGGCGAAAGTCAACCACCATCTCCTTTGTCTTGCTGGCGTTGATGTGAAGATGGTTTAACTCACACCAGTTGACAAAATCCCCGATGACCTCCCGGTACTCCTGGTCATTCTCCTCTGATACCCGCCCAACAATGGCAGTATCATCAGATAACTTCTGCATGTGACAGCTGCTTGTGTTATGCCTGAAGTCCGCTGTGTACAGGGTGTAGAGAAAAGGAGCGAGCACTGTCCCCTGTGGTGCTCCTGTGCTGCTCATCACCACATCAGACACACAGTCCTGGAGCCTCACATACTGTGGTCTGTCAGTGAGGTAACTGATGATCCATGCAGACAGGTGGTGTTCAACACCAGCTCCCAATAGCTTCCCCCAGAGCAGCGATGGTTGAATTGTATTGAAAGCACTGGAGAAATCAAAAAACATGACCCTCACAGTGCTCCCAGTGTTCTCCAGATGTGACAGTGCTCTGTGTGAAAGATAGATGATGGCATCCTCCACCCCTATGCCTGGTTGGTAAGCGAACTGTAGGGGGTCCAATTCTGAGCTCACCACGGTTCTCAGGTGTCGTAATACAATCCTCTCCAAAGTTTTCATCAGGTGAGAAGTTAAGGCCACCGGTCTGAAGTGGCTGGGCTCCCTGGGATGTACATTTTTTGGAACTGGAACAACACACGATGTCTTCCACAGGACTGGAACCCGCTCCAGACTCAGACTCAGGTTGAAGATGTACTGGATGACCTCACTGAGCTGATCTGCACAATCTCTAAGCATTCTGGAGCACCGGGCCCGGTGCCTTTCTTGCCTTGATCTTTTTTAGCTCCTTCTTCACCTGATTAACTGTCAGAGAGAGAGACTGCTAGAGGGTGGTATATAAGCTCCCTGGAGAGAAGAATGGAAGGAGGAGCGTGAAACATCCATAAATGAGGAGTCAGTGTACAGTTGTGAACTTGGGGATGCTGATGTCTCTGAATCCCTAAGGGGGGATGAGTTGATCCGCAGTGGCCAGAGAGGGAGAGGTTGATTTACCGACAGGTCTGAAGTCTGGTTGGAGGTGAGAGGAGAGGGGGTAGAATCAAATCTATTGAAAAAAAATATTTAATTCATTTGCCTTGTCACAGTCACCAGAAACAAAGCCTTTGCCACTGACTTTTTTCTGACCAGAGATGGTTTTCAGACCCCTCCAAACCTCCCTTGTGTTGTTTTGTTGGAGGCGTGACTCTAACTTCTTCCTATAACTGTCCTTTCCTTTCCTAATCTCCCATCTTAGCTGTTTTGAACCCTCCTCAACTCTTCTTTTTCCCCAGATTTAAAAAGTCTTTTCTTCTCATTCAGCAGGGCTTTAAGTTCAGAAGTCACCCAAGGTTTGTTGTTGGAAAAACACCGAACCTTCTTCTTAGGTATGGTGTTCTCCACACAGAAATTAATGTAGTCAGTAACACAGTGAGTGAGAGTGTCAATGTCCTCCCCATGGGAATTACAGATCATTTCCCAGTCTTTTGTCTCAAAGCAGTCTCTCAGTGCTTCACTGGCCTCCTCAGACCAGTCCCTCACATACCTAGTGGTGGGGGGCTGTTTACTCACCAAGGGTATGTAAGCAGACAGGAGATGGACCAGGTTGTGATCCGAGCGGCCCAGCGGAGGGAGGGGTGAGGAGCTATATGCCTCTTTAATGTTGGCATACAGTAGATCCAGTGTTTTATTGTCCCTTGTGTGGCATTTAACATACTGGGTGAAGGTTGGAAGCGTTGGGGACAGGAGAGCATGATTAAAGTCTCCAGAGATAAGAAAGAAGGACTGTGGGTGCGATGTCTGCAGCTGTGACACGACTCTGTGAAGGAGCTCACATGCAGCTGAAGCATCAGCTGAGGGGGGGATGTAAAAGCTCCCTCGGAATGTAATAAGGCCGCATGCTAACCGCTAGCAACTCAATGTCTTTAGCACAGAGCTGCTCCTTAACACTAATGTGCCCAGGGTTACACCATCTGTTATTCACAAACATCACAATTCCCCCACCCTTCCTCTTACCGCTCTCCTTTGCTCTCCTGTCCGCTCTCACAAGTTGAAAACCATCCAGTGTAACCAGTGAGTCCGTAGTGAGTTCATTCAGCCAAGTCTCCGTGAAGCACATGACGCTGCACTCCCTGTATTCCCTCTGCAGCCCGGTTAGCGCCGTTTGCTCTTCCATCTTATTGGTGAGAGATCTCACGTTCCCCATAATAACAGCCGGGATGCACGGTTTGTACCTTCGTTTCCTTTCTCGACGTTTAGCTCCAGCTCTGCATCCCCTCCTTCTTCTTCTAAATAATTCCTCCGGGATCTCCTGTCTTTCAGTAGAGAAAAACCTAGTGTGCCTCAATGCTAGCAGCTGTTCCCGTGTGTAAACAATGGAGCTGCGGCCGAATGGTTCTCCCATGGCAAAGTTGTAAACACAATATTACGTCCCTGTGCACGTACGTTGAAGAAAGTTTTAACGCGAAAAGAAATACAAATAGATGAAATACACTAATTATTCACAGAAAAAAAAGCTCGGAGCTGCGGCAACAGGCTACCACTCACGCAGCGCCATACTTGATTGGATGTGACTGCTTGACATTCTGGTTATATTTTGAAATTGAGAAATGTTGCCTTGGCAGCTAGCTGAAATAAAATAAGGGGTAAATCATATTTAGGGGTTCAGGTGTGCTGAGGACTCTAGTCTAGGTCAATCATTTTCAAATAAAGTTGAACTTTTGCATTTACATGGTTATAATAGGGTCATCTCAATATGTGGCTTGACCAGGTGTCCCCGAAAGCCTGTAACTCCTCAAGACATGCTCGAAAAAGTAAATTTGACATATGACTCTAAACAAGACACAATTTTACAGAGATCTGGCAATATGTGCCTCTATAACAGTTAAAGGTGAAAAATGTCATATGATAAATTCACTGAAACCATTATACCCACCGGATGGCAGCAGAGGACCACTTGGGCTCTTTCTGCTCACTAATATAGTTCTTTTCACAGGTTTTGCTTTTGGTTTCATATTTATACAGAACTTTGAGACCGCTGAACCTGATATAATGCAGATTGGATTTATCAACCCTAACCCTGCTCTGAAACTCTGAGTTTGTTCAGCTAGCTTTGTGCAACAGGCCAATGGATTAAGCATTTTCTTATCTATCGTTTATTCCATAGTTATTATTTAAAACATGAAAGTGTGCGTGTCTGTAAGCACATTTAATGGAGTTGACATGGAAAATGTGCCTTGCTTTAGTAGAGATTACTGGTGGAAAACCAAAACCAGACACTTTTAAGAATGAAAGTGAGCCAGTGAGTGGTCCTCTGCTGCCATCTGCGGTTATCATAGCACATGTGTCCTTCTACTCTCTAATGCAGCTGTATAGTTCATATATAGACATTATAATATCACTAGCAGTTTTGACAGTTGTGCCTCATTATGATTAATGTGAAACCTAAAAATGATGTTATAAAGCGCTAAGCATTTTATTACCTATCATTTAGTTCAAATATCTGTATCTTCAACAAAATGTGTGTGTGTAAGCATGCTTAGAGTGTATTAAGTATTATAATTGAACCCTTTGGTTTCTGTATGTGTGTGTGTTAAGCGTATTCTCCACTGTGAATGTGTTATGGTGTTATGTGTTAACGCCCAATGGTTAGACAGCAAGTCACATTTGGAAGATGCAAACTTGCAATTATGAGTTTATAACTTGACATTATGAGAAAAAAAGTCATAGTCGTGAGATACAGTCAGAATCCCCTGTGTTAGTTTGAGTGCGTCGGTGGCGAGGCTGGATCCCCTGAGCTGTGTGTGTGTCTCCGGGCAGAGAGGCGAGAACATCCCGAAGGTGCTGGTGTTCAGCACGGATGGAGAGTTCCTGCAGGCCTGGAACACCAGCACACTGGAGATGCCTCACGGGATGTTCCTGGCCAACGCCTCGGCCGACCCGTCCCTGTGGATCACGGATGTCGGGAACGGTGGGTTTTGGGATCCTCTCCAGGGGTCTCATTCATAAAACTGTGTAGGATTCTTACTAAAAGTGTACATGTGCCTGGAATCCAAATTTCTCTTTATAAACCCCAGTCAGAGGAAGATTCCTCCCCGAAATAACCATATATGACCCTCATTTTACTATATCCTCATCTGCATATCAAAGTGACTCCATGTTTAATGGTACGAGACATTAGGAAAATATGAGATACAGATGTGCGTCACATTACATTGTTAGAAATCATTTAGTAGCCGATCTGTAGCAAGGTTAGATGTTGTGGGAAGAAGCCGGAACCGGCGAACATTCGACACACAATTTAATAATAAAATAAACAAACACAAAACGAAAGTAAAGGACAGCCGCTCACGGACGACTGTGGTCACTTACACTCACCTAAAGGATTATTATGAACACCATACTAATACTGTGTTTGACCCCCTTTCGCCTTCAGAACTGCCTTAATTCTACGTGGCATGGGCGCTGAAAGGTGCTGAAAGCATTCTTTAGAAATGTTGGCCCATATTGATAGGATAGCATCTTGCAGTTGATGGAGATTTGTGGGATGCACATCCAGGGCACGAAGCTCCCGTTCCACCGCATCCCAAAGATGCTCTATTGGGTTGAGATCTGGTGACTGTGGGGGCCATTTTAGTACAGTGAACTCATTGTCATGTTCAAGAAACCAATTTGAAATGATTCGAGCTTTGTGACATGGTGCATTATCCTGCTGGAAGTAGCCATCAGAGGATGGGTACATGGTGGCCATAAAGGGATGGACATGGTCAGAAACAATGCTCAGGTCGGCCGTGGCATTTAAACGATGCCCAATTGGCACTAAGGAGCTTAAAGTGTGCCAAGAAAACATCCCCCACACCATTACACCACCACCACCAGCCTGCACAGTCTTCTATCAGCTTGAATCAGTCGGCCCATTCTCCTCTGACCTCTAGCATCAACAAGGCATTTTCGCCCACAGGACTGCCGCATACTGGATGTTTTTCCCTTTTCACACCATTCTTTGTAAACCCTAGAAATGGTTGTGCGTGAAAATTCCAGTAACTGAGCAGATTGTGAAATACTCAGACCGGCCCATCTGGCACCAACAACCATGCCACGCTCAAAATAGCTTAAATCACCTTTCTTTCCCATTCTGACATTCAGTTTGGAGATCTGTTTCGACCTCACTCTGACCGTCACTACAGTCTAATAGGATGATAACCTTCGTTCCGCCTTCTCTCGAGACCTTATGTAAACAAAGTCATGCCCATGACCCCGGAAGCGGAACGTCACGCACTATAAAAGGCGAGTCAAACTTCCGGCTCGTTCTCTTTACCTTTCTCGCCTATAGAGACCCGGTACAGGTAGGAAACCAAATTAATATTATTATTCACCATTCAATTCATCACCCAAGTGGTGCAGGTGCCTTGTGCCCCTGTGAATTGTGGTGTTTTATTTTGTATAATTTTTGTATTATCTGTGCAATCACTTATTTCTTGCTGTATATGTGCTTGAATTGTGATTAGTTTATTATTGATATTTGAGGCTAGTTTATACATACTAGCCATTCAATATTTCAATGCAATCACTCAATTCATGCTATAGCCTTGTGCTTATGAATTGAGAATTATTTTATTGTACTATTCAGATATCCTGAGACTAGTTTCTAAACATACTAGCCATTCAATATTATGGGTTATTTCTGTTTATTTTTTCAGAGTACTTTTTTTCTCGCGTATACAGGCAGAAGCCATCCTTGAAAAAGAGTCTCTACCAGTTGATCTACGAACGCCGATCCAAGTGCGCTGGTGAGATGTGAACGAGCTATAAGTTGTGATAAGGTGAACGCGAACAGCAGGCTTGGTTCGGCGTTCGTAGATCGACGGGTAGAGACTGCTTTTCAAAGATGGCTTCTGCCTGTATACGCGAAGTTGACTGTATGTATTAAATATCTTCTTATTAAACTGTCTGGACACTGACAAAGTTCTCAATGCTTCGGTTTGAAGGTAGGGACCCTCATTATGCTACCGTGCTAGTGTGGGGCTATTTTGAGCCTTGTTAGTGGTATTAACAAGCGATTTTTTTTTGTCATTACTCGATGCCCAATATACTAGCATTATACTAGCTTTATAGGCTAAACTGTTTTTAGAGATAAAACTATTTACATTCGATATTCATGAAAACAAATCTCAGATAACGGTTGACTAGGTAACAATGTGTAATTAGACCAAAGGTTCATTTTGCGCCGGAGTTCTCCTTTAAAAATTCTTCCATTCAAAATGATCCATACAAAGATGGTAATGCAATCCATACGTGCAGGGGAATGGTTCACGTCCCTGGATTTAAAGGACGCATATTTCCATGTTCCAATTTGTCCAGAGCACAGGCCTTTTCTCCGCTTTGCTTTTCAAGGCCAGGCCATTCAGTTCCAGGTTCTACCATTCGGCCTGTCTTTGGCCCCGAGAGTTTTTACTCGGGTGGTCTCAGCCGCCCTAGCTCCCCTTCAGCTGCGCGGTATCAAAATCCTGCCATATCTGGACGATTGGTTAATTTGTGCTCCCTCTCAAGAGCAGGTGATCAGGAACACAGTGGAGGTACTAGCTCACATTCAGTCCCTGGGGTTCACGGTGAACTGGAAGAAGAGCAGTCTCCAGCCTCAACAGCAGGTGAAATTCCTGGGGCTATATTTCAACTCCATAACAATGGAAGCATGTCTCACTCCCCAGAGAATAGACAGCCTGGAGAAGGCGTTGAGTCACTTCCAGAAGGGGAAGCTTGTGACAGCCCACAGGGTTCAGAAGCTGGTAGGACTGATGGCGGCAGCATCAATGGTGATTCCCTTAGGCCTACTGAGGACACGGCCGATACAGAGATGGTTCAATTCTTTTCGTCTTCATCCAAAAAAGGACAGAAGAACGAGGCTGTTGGTGACAAAGGCCTGCATGCAGGCCTTACTCCATTGGAGGGACAAGGACTTTCTCCGCAGGGGAACTCCACTGGGCAATCTTCCTCACAGAAGATCAGTGATAACAACAGACGCATCACTGACAGGTTGGGGAGCTGTTTGGGAAGGCAGATCAGTAAGGGGCAAATGGGATCCCCCTTGGTCATCAGAACACATAAATGTGCTCGAACTGAGGGCTGTTCATCTTGCTCTCAAGGGTCTGTTACCATTTTTTCGCCACAAGCATGTGCTAGTGAGAACGGATATTTACCACATCAATCACCAAGGAGGGACGAAATCACCACGCTGTCTCCAGGTGGCAACGAACTTGCTGACGTGGACATGGCCTCGGCTGTCCTCACTGAGAGCAATCCACATCCCGGGTGTGACAAACAGAGCAGCCGACATTTTGTCCAGAACAGGGCCTCTCCCAGGGGAATGGCGGTTGCACACGGAGGTAATAGCCCAAATTTGGACCCGATATGGGACAGCTCGTGTCGATCTCTTTGCTTCCAGGGAGACAACCCATTGCCTGGGGTGGTACTCCCTCACGGTACAAGAGGGCAGTTTAGGCCTGGATGCTCTGTCACAAGAGTGGCCGAGAGGCTTATTATATGCTTTTCCCCCCTTTCCTCTGATTTCCCAGGTCCTTCAGAGGATCAGGGAGGGTCATTGCACAGTTCTGCTTGTTGCTCCACGCTGGCCGGGAAGACCATGGTTCCCGGACCTAGTTCAGCTGGTTCAGGGTCCTCCGTGGCAACTTCCATCACGGGCAGATCTCCTATCCCAAATAGACGGGCAGATTTGGCATCCAAACCCGATGGCACTACGATTGTGGGTATGGCCTCTGCAGAGTCCGTCCCTCAACAGCTAGATGAAACGGTACGCGAGACACTGAATAATGCCAGAGCTCCATCTACTCGGGCTAATTACGCCATAAAGTGGAGAATTTTTTCAGAGTGGTGTTTAGACTTCAATGTTGATCCAATAACCTGCTCTGTGCCACTTGTCCTTAGATTCCTGCAGGCTCAACTGGATCAGGGCAAAGCAGCCAGTACAATCAGGGTTTATGCTTCATCTATTTTAGCATCTCATCGGGGAGTGGATGGCCAGCCATTAGGCCGACATCCCTTGGTAGGTCAGTTCCTGAAGGGAGCTGGTCGCTTATGTCCAAATCGCACTTTGCGGGTACCCAATTGGGATTTGCCTTATGTACTAGACTCTCTCACTAAGCATCCGTATGAGCCTATGGCAGATGCAGATTTTAAATCTTTGTCTCTCAAGACAGCTTTTCTCTTGGCTATATGCTCTGCTAAAAGGGTAGGAGAATTATGTGCGCTATCTGTTAGTGAGGATTGTTTACGTTGGAGGCCGGATGGCACAGGGGTGACGCTCTGGCCCAACCCTGCCTTTTTACCAAAAGTACTTAATTCTCAGTTCAGGAATCAAGTTCTGGAGGTAGTTCAATTTCAACCCCCCTCACAGGCAGATCAGCAGAATTTGCTCACCCTTTGTCCAGTAAGGGCTTTACGCACTTATGTTAATTTTACTCAGACCTTGAGGAAGTCTCATTCTCAGCTTTTTGTTTGCTATGGGAAGGCCAGACTAGGGTGGCCACTTTCTAAGCAACGTTTGTCACATTGGTTGGTTGAGGTTATTTCCCAGGCTTATGCAGGAAGTGGGTTGCCAGTTCCAATGGGAATACGGGCCCACTCAACCAGAAGTGTAGCTACTTCTTGGGCTGCACTAAAAGGGGTTTCAGTGGGGGAGATTTGTGCTGCAGCATCATGGTCTACACCATGTACATTTGCTAAATTTTACAGAGTTGACGTAACTAGCACAACGCCTGTCAGCACTGCAGTTTTGATGTCTGTAGCCCAGCGAGGTTTGAATAGTTCAGAGTCTGTAGTTCCTCGCGACCCTGTTGACATGAGTCATCCTATTAGACCGTAGTGACGGTCAGAGTGAGGTCGAAACAGATCGTAAGTTATGAATATAACTATGGATCTGTGAGACCGAAGGATGACCGTCACTATCCTTGTCGCTCGGAACACTAGGGCGTTCAAGGTAAGAGAACGAGCCGGAAGTTTAACTCGCCTTTTATAGTGCGTGACGTTCCGGATCCGGGGTCATGGGCATGACTTTGTTTACATAAGGTCTCGAGAGAAGGCGGAACGAAGGTTATCATCCTATTAGACCGTAGTGACGGTCATCCTTCGGTCTCACAGATCCATAGTTATATTCATAACTTACGTTCAGGAGATTGTCTTGACCAGGACCACACCCCTAAATGCATTGAAGCAACTGCCATGTGATTGGTTGATTAGATAATTGCATTAATGAGAAATTGAACAGGTGTTCCTAATAATCCTTTAGGTGAGTGTATAATAAAACTAACACACACAACACACGTCCAGACCTGTTCCTCTCTCGCTCTCCACTGTCGCCACTTCTCTGAGAGATATAATACATATTTTTTTCTAATAAATATTAATATTAAAAAATAAAATAGTATAAAATACATTTCAGAGAAAGTTTTTCTCAATCTTTTCCACTGGCCAAATAGTATTTTTAATTGCTTTATATTTTTAATGGAAACAGAAAGGCCTTATAGAGCATATTCCTCTCAGATCAGGAGTTCTGCTATTATCATGCGCTAAACAAACATTAACACTGCATGACACAGGAAAAGTGTTCAAAAGCAGCGCATCCACTACTAATATTACTATTTATTAGAATATAAACGTATAGTAAAAGCGCTGTAAATGCAGCTGACTCTCTTGTGTGCAGGGCCGTTCGGGCACACGTGTGTGTGTGTGTGTGTGTGTGTGTGTGTGTGTGTGAGTGAAGTTGACGGACTCTCTTGTGTGCAGGGCCGTTCGGACACACGGTGAAGCAGTATTCTCCGGACGGGAAGCTCCTGCGGGTTCTGGGATCCCCCGGGAAAGCCGGATCTTCTCTCAGTCCGCTGCAGTTCGACCAGCCGGCAGAGATCTTCATCCACAGCTCCGGAGAAATCTACATCGTGGACGGAGACGGTGGCGTGAACAACCGGCTGATCAAACTCTCTCCAGGTGTGTGTGTGTGTGTTTTGTGTGTGTTTGTTATATATTGTTGTTTAATAAACTTGTTTAAAACAAAAATAACTATTCAGGTGAAAAAAATCCTCAGTTGCACAGATCCAGTTAATAAAACATGATGCTGTTATAAGACCTGAATAAAAGTCAAAGAATCCCGTTTATCACACAATATTGTACAGTATAAATACTGACGAGGTTAAGGCAATATCCTGTTTATGTTTTGGGCTTTGTCCTGTTTCTGATGTGGATTCTGTGAAGGTTTTCTTTATTTAAGTATCTAATAAAACACTTATAATGCACATGAAGGAACAATCTCAAATCACTGCATTAGGGTTGTGTTTGAATAGCAAACTGTAAATGTAGATTCATGCGGCACAATTCGTTTTTCTGGTCCTTGAACACGTTGGACTTTAGAGAGAAGTCAACAAATACGCCTAACCATTTTCCAGAGCTCTGATTGGCTGCTGGAGTTGTCGTCCTGGGGTGATTTCCCAAAAGCATCGTTGGCCAACTATGATCGCAATTTCCATTGAACTCTATACATAGTTCCCACAGGCCAATTAATGTCACGTGACCTCCCTGGAGACGCCATCTTTGAGGGCATAAGCTGCTCTGTTTACAACGTTTTACAAGCAAATTTCGAATATTTCTTTCTTTTTATAATGTTACGAAAATCATGAAGAGACAAAGTGACAGAGATTATAAAGAGTTTCTATTAACACAAGACAGAGAGAGGTACAATGTGAAAATTTCAGTCATAAATGGTGTGGATCCGTAGGAAGCACTGATTATGCAGCTTTGCCTTATACAGTATTATCATGTGTAACGTTACCATTATCTGGTATTTTATACACATGTGAGCAATTCCGAGCCTGGAAATCACTGGAGGCGTACAATCAGTTTGTCGAGGGTTGGGTTGGTGAAGTTTGCTCAAGTGCAATCAATGGAAAAGTAGTCATCATAGCGAATGTATGTAGCGTGATGCTAGACTATCTGTCTATTAAAAAGCCATAGCTTGCACAACTTAATTCCTGTTCCCCTTATAACAGTCATCGGTGCTTTCTGTAATATGCATGTACTTATTTGTACAGTGTAGAATAGGGTTGGAACGGTACATGTATTGTACGGTTCAGTGCATGAATATACACAGTGTAAAAGTAAATAAAACTCGCGTGCAAATTAATTAATGTAATGGGGAACTACTTTATACGCGGGTTCTTTAGGGACATCATCTGAGATTGCAATGCTGGAATGAGTGAGTGAGTGAGTGAGTGAGTGAGTGAGTGAGTGAGTGAGTGAGTGAGAGAGAGCGGCGCGGGCGCGATCGAACAGTGGAAACAATGTTGTTTTTAATACCTCGTCATTATTTTCATACAGGACATCATTCAAACTGCAAAGTGTTAACTTGTTTATTATCCTCGCCAGCCGTCGTTGTTCTGACAAAAGCTTAGTCTTCTCACATTCATGAAGTCTAAAGACGAGTATACTGTAAAATCCAAATTTAACTGAACCTCCGGCACGATTTGAACATCCATTGACCCAGCAGGAGATGACCATTTTCACTTTTTAATCACGAAATTAACTCGTTTCAGCTTCTTCTTCTAATATTCTGCCCGAAACATGCCCTCAGAAATGGCGCCGGGTCGGCAAATGCCCGTATGTTGTGACGTCATGTGGGAACTATGTATAGGTAACGACGGAACTTGCGACCATAGTTGGCTTTGGGAAATGCACCCCTGGTTATATGTGAGGAAGATATGAAGGTAAAAGAGTAGCAAAACTCGAGAGTACGTAGATGTGAATTTGAGAGCTTGTACAATAAGTCAAGTCAAGTCATCCTCATTTATATAGTGCTGTCAACAAAGTAGATTGCTTCAAAGCAGCTTTACAGAGATAAACAATAAATATTCGTACGTGTGCGCTAAAATCTACAGTGACAGCTCCAATGTGAAAACCTGATAAGATTTGCACTCGCAGACAACAGTCACACACCTGTGTTCTGGATGTGAAGCTGCAGACAAGCAGTCACACATGTGTAAAACGCCATTTACAGAAATACAATGACAGACACAAACTTTAAATATATATTTGCACTTATTCTTACATTCGCATTCGGAGTACAACCTCAATTAGGCACTTGCAACTACTCAAATCTGTCACTGCAATATCAAATTTCACGCCTTGACTTTTGCTACTCTTTTCGCGATATATTACATGCAAAACTGACTTGTGCACTTGCAGCTCAGTGGCCCCATAGATATATACACTAGAAGTCACCTTGGGGTTCTCAGCATGCGTCAAAACCGCCGCCATCTTGGAACAGGGGTCTTGTCATAGGAAGTATCTAGGTAAAGGCCTGTTCACACCGGGACGAATTTCGCGCGCGATATTCGCCGACGTTTAACGCCTCGTGACTAAACAAAGGGCGCCTATGTGAGTGTGCACACCGACGCGAAAAACGCCACGCGTAAAAGCGTCATTTTTTAAAAAACGCCTCGGGTTTGTTTTTTTGGTTTGACGCGCCGCGTCAAAAACTATCCGACCAATGAGATTGGCGCTTTTGCTCACATGTCTGGAGCTTCTGAAGTTACAGTAAAACACAACTTGGGGGCGCTCACACACAAAACGGTCTTGCCGAGCACACATACGTAACCGCGAAGAAGATATACGCCAAGTAGCGTCTACACACCATAGATATCCATAATAAAGGCTAGATGTCTCGTCCGCGCTGCTGGCCAATGGCCTTTATTATGGATATCTATGGTCTACACTGCCGGGAAGAAATAAGACGAGGAAGATGCAAGGCAAGATGAATGTAGAGCTGCTGGTCTCGTTGGTGTCGGAACATAAAGAACTATATGACAAGCGCGACAGCGACTACAAAATAGGACTATTTCTGTTTTACATTAAGCGCCATCTAATGTCAGGGAATGAATTTGCATGTTCACTCGGCTCAACGTCAGCGAAAATCGCTTGGGTGTGAACACAAAAAACGCGTTGAAAAACGCTGTCGAATAACGCGCGCCGATATTCGTCCCGGTGTGTACGGGGCTTAACGCTGCTATCTCCGCCTGTACTTCAAATTCATGGATGATGCCAGACTTTTGTGCTGCGTATCTGTTCACACGAAATCTGAACTAGGAAGAATGTTTAAAAAAATTTAAAAATGATTTCTCTGGACTCAATAATAAATAAATGTCTGACCGTGGGAACGAACCAAAAAACTATGATTTTATTTCCGTTAGACCTTTGCCTATTGACGCTTAAGCTTTAAAGGAGAACTCCGGCGCAAAATGAACCTTTGGTCTAATAAAACATTGGTACCTAGTCAACCGTTCTCTGAGATTTGTTTTCATGATAATCGAATGTAAAGAGTTTTATCTCTAAAAACTGTTTAGTGTATAACGCTAGTAATGGGGGTTTTATTAAGTAATCTATTAAGTAAAAAGAAATCGCTAGTTTATACCACTAACAAGACTCAAAATAGCCCCACACGAACACAGTAACATAATGAGGGTCCCTACATGCAAAACGAAGCATTGAGAACTTTGTAAGTGTAGCAGGAGCAAGAAGGAGTAGACATACTAAACGTGTGGCACACAATTGTGACAAGTACAAACAAAAAAGCATAGATTGCAAGGGCATAAAAACAGTTCATGCAATAAAACAGTACAAATCGACACAAAGAATAATCACACAGAGGCCACACTGAAGCACATACAGGACACGACACTGAGATGACCATGTCACTTCAGATACACATCACATCTGTCAAACTAATGTGTGCAGTTGTAATTGTCGGACAGCCAGTTTTTAAGGTGTATAGTAAAGGTGGAATGCGTATGTATGTCTTTGATTGTAGTGGGCAGTGAGGTCCAGTTTTGTATTGCTGTAACAGAAAATGATAATTGACCAAATATGCTTTTCCTAAATGGGATTAGAAGATCACCTCGTGTGGTGCTTCTGGTAATCTGACTGCTATTATTACGTGAATGAATTAAAAGGAGCAGGTGCGCTATTATGCAGAATTTTGTAGACCAAACAGATGTTTTTGTATTTGATTACATCTTCCCAGCTTAGCAGTTTATGATTATTAAGGATGATACAAAGATGTGAACTGTTAGGCTTCTGGTCCAGAACTTTGAGAGTTTTTATATAAAGAGTTGCTTGTGGCTTTAGTGATAAACTGTTAATTTGTCCCCAGCTTGTCAGACAATATGTTAGATGTGACACAATCATGGTATTTCTAATATATCTAAAATTAGCTAAGCTAAACTTGACCCTATTGCACACTTTCTTAATATGTGTTTAAAAGAAAAATTAGAGTCAATAATGACGCACAAATACTTAAATTGTGGCACAATACTAATGTTTTGACCTGAAATCTTTATATTTGACACAATGTTACATTGTCTCTTTGTAAAAAAACATTCCCACAGTTTTATCAACATTTAGTTGAAGGCACGAAGGATTTAGCCAGTCGGTGATCTGATCCATAGCTGTGGTCAGTTTGGCATCGGCCAGATGTTTTGTCTTGGCATGCACATAAATTACAGTGTCATCCGCATACATTAGTTTATTGATATCAGGGCAAACTGATGGCAGATCATTGATATATAGACTAAACAAAAGCGGGCCAAGTATCGATCCTTGTGGTACCCCCTGTGCGTAAATTAAGAACTAATGAACGATGGTTGTTCACAGAAACATATTGAGTTCTACCTGTTAAATATGATTCAATCCATTTGATTGCTGAAGAGGAGAAATTAAAAGTAGAGAGTTTGGCAATAAAGACCTGGGCTGAGTTTCCCGATAACGTTGTCTCTTAGCTCGCTACGAAGACTCTTAAGGTATAACTTAACTGAAGGTATACCATTTCTAGGCGTGTTCCCCGAACTATACCTTAGAAAGCTGCTTAAAGGAACACTCCACCGTTTTTTGAAATAGGGCTTATTCACATTCTTTCCTACATTTAGATATGTGTGCAAATGCTT